TTTCAACATGTCACTAGTTCTATATAGGGAGATTGAGGTTTTTAAATTTCTTGCACCGTACATTATTAAACAGATGAAACCAAAATTTTCCTGTTATATTTGTCATACGTACATTCAATAATCATACTAATTACGTAATTTTCATGCAAAAAATATGACAAAAAAATTCATATTATCATATGAAATGTCAGATAAATAATAGTTAAATGTAGTATATAAGCAATAAAACTCTTACCTTCTTATATACGTTTCCTAACTGCTATTCTTAACGTTGAGAATGAACGAAAAAATTAATTATCTTAAAAAAAAGGTAGGCTTTCAATGGCTATAAAATTTAATTGTTGTTTTAATAACTTTTAACATTTTTTTTCAGTTTGAAGGTTGGGAAATGACCTTGGATTCTGACAACCTCAGCCTTCTTTCTATTCTAAAATTCCGTAAATTAAAAGACGATTTTACTTATAATAAACATGCTAAACACTTTTTCATATCCAAGTTCGTATCTTACGTTAAAAAAAAATACCAGCAAACGAAAAGTGGAGAAAGGCTATATTGGTTTTTGGTAATAAAGAATTAAAGGCGAGTATCTAATTTATTTAACATTTGGATGCAAAGAACAGGGAGGAGTTGGGCTACGTGTCAAAACAACCACCTAAGCTTCCTGGCTACGCGTCAGGTTGGGAATGGGTTATGTATCCGGTGGGCTCTATCTTATGCGTAAAGGCTAGAGGGCTATGCGTCACGATGCCAAGAGCTACGTGTTCGTTCGCAGTTCGCAGTTTGCGAAAAGATCAAATTAAAGTACTATTCTTTTACTGATCCTAAGCTTCAGAAAAATGGAAAAGATGTGCAAATGTTTTGGGAAAGGATCGAAATCGAGCAAGCAGAAATAAAGGCGAAAAGGAGTTTAAAGAGGGCTTGTTCTGAATTCAAAAATTTTAGGAATTCAATTTTCTGGTAAAGATTATTGCGTTTGTAATGCTGGAATTAATAAATAATATTTAACATTTTAATCATTGTGCAGGGTCTAAGTGGCCAAATAATAGGAATAGATCTTCTTGAGGATGGGTTGTACTTTGGTTTAGAAGGGCCAACTTTTAATTTTCCGGCACAACTCACAGATATCAAATGTCTTCGTAGTGCATTGGAGGCCTTATATTTTTATAAAGTAAGATGCAAATATTTTGCAATTATGTTACTAGTTTAATTCATATATTTATTTATTCATTTTATTTTTCATAACTTTAGCAAAGCATTGTTACAAAAGCAAGTTTAATTCCTGATCCAAAGAAGATAAACAACCCATATAATAAAATACTTCATTGCAAATCAAACACATTAACAGAAGCGAAGCATTTCAAGCTTAAATTTGTCCGAACAACATATTTTACGCCAAAGCAAAAGAGAAAGTATCATGCCCAAGACGAATTTTTAAAAAATGGTTGCTAATTGGTATTTAGTTACGTATTTAGTTACTATTTTTTTTTTTTTTTTTTTAACTTTAAATTGAAATCGTCAAGTAATGGTTTATCATATTTTTCTGTAGATGAATATGAGATATTTCAGATTAGCAAAAGACTCTAAAAGTTTCATGACTGTGGTATTCTAAATAAAAATAAAATCTGGTTGCAGACTCAAACTGGGTTTTTAAATTTTAAATCCGGTTTATTTCGAGCGTGTTATATTTGATTTAATCGATATTCTTAGAAGAAAATTAGGTTTCTTTAATTTAATAAATTTACAAAAATATTAGTTTTATAATTATTATATCAATTCAATTTAGATTTTCTTAGTAAAAATTCTTGCTTTCATGAGTTATTTTTGATGCGCCAAATTACCCCCTGCGCCATTATACTTTACATAACAAGACCTTTTAAGGGCTAAAAACATTAAATTAAGCTCCAGACTTATCCCGCATTATTAATAATTAATTTTCTGGAGCGAAGTGAGACTCGTACTTCTACATCCTTTGATAATCGAAGTTACGTTTTTGATATATTTATAGTATACGTATATATAGACAGTTTTGGTCCAGATGTAACGCCTTGATTTGCGACATACTTTTCAGGGGCTAAAAATATTAAATCGAGCTCCAGGCTTATACCGATTTCCGGTTCCTAGTTTTTTGTCGATATGCCTAGATACGGCCCTTAAGGCCGCACAAATTTAATATCTTGGTTTTCATAACACGAAACTTTTAAACAGACCCGGCCGGCCGGCTTTTTTTT